GAACAGGGGAATGCTGTGATCAACTTGGTTTCCAAAGGCTCCCTCTGGCTCCTAAGGTGAGAACAGACTGCAGGGGGCAAGGCTGGGACCAGGGAAGTGGCAGGAGAGGGAGTGAAGTGGGCAGACTCTAGACATGCATTGAAGGTGGAGCCCCCTGATGGGCTGTGGGGTGTGAGCTGAGTCAAAAATCATCCTATTGACGAAAGTCCCTTAAGTGAAAGGGAGGGAAAGTTACCCATTTCACCACTCTAACCCCCCCCCCCCCCCCATGGAGATGCTATATACTTTCAAGGTCTTACCTTTTTAGGCAGACACATTCTTCAGGTTCTGGCTAAAATTCTTCCTCCTCAAAGCCTGTATTAACCAAATCTACTGCTCACGGGGCGCCCGAGTAAAGAGTGCTATCCAGGGGACATTTATTATCTCTTGTAATCACTACAACAATTTCATGGCTTTCTGTGCCGAGTGTCAGATTAGGGAAGAATTGTTGCGGAAGAGCTGAGGTAGAAAGTCCTGGTGGTGTGAGAGGAGTGAGTGCAGGATCAGAGGCAATAGCCAGGGAGTTTTACAGTTTGAGGCCTAGCACGGGGTCCATATGCAGAATTATCCGGACAAGAGCTAGTGTGTGTTTCTATTGGGTGGGGGGTGGGGGGCTTCTCGCCCTAACCGGTTTGGCTCAGTGGATAGAGCGTCGGCCTGCGGACTCAAGGGTCCCAGGTTTGATTCTGGCCAAGGGCATGTACCTTGGTTGTGGGCACCTACCCAGTAGGGGGTGTGCAGGAGGCAGCTGATCGATGTTTCTCTCTCATCAATGTTTCTAGCTCTCTATCCCTCTCCCTTCCTCTCTGTAAAAAAATCAATAAAATATATATTTTAAAAAAACAACACACACTGAAACTCTCTATTCATTATACTAATTCCCACTTCCCCTCCCCCCAGCCCCTGGCAACCACTTTTTTACTTTCTTTGCTTTTAAGTATTCTGCTGATCTTTTAAAAAATATTTTTTTATTGATTTTTTTTTTTTTTTCTGAGAGAGAGAGAGAGAGAGAAAAGAGAGAAACATCTCCTGCAGGCCCCCTACTGGAGGTTGAGTCTGAAACCCAGGCATATGTCTCCTCCAGGAATCTGGGAATTGAACCGGGGACGTCTGGGTGCATGGGATGATGCCTCCCCTTGAGCCACACTGGCTCTGCGACCTTTAAATGTCTCATTGCCCAGGGCTCTGTCCTGTCTTCTCTTCCCATTCTGCCTTTTCCAGATCATCTCATCTACTCCCGAGGTTTTGAATACTCTGCACTGCCTGATTTCTCTTTTCTCCTCATCCCATGGCAATTTGTTAATTGTTGAAAGAGCTCTTTGGCCTCAAACACAGGATTTTTAAAAAATCATGCGTTGCTCTTGTGAATACTATAAACAAATTTAATGGGTTAAAGTTTTCCTAAAACTTCTTCACATTAGCATTGTGACTTTCTACTTGAAGTCCTGACGTCTGTACTTTCCACATAAGATTGCCTTTGCTATGTTGGTCTTCCAACATTTCATAAAAGAGCCCGTAAAAGAATCAAAAGCCATTGGCACTGGGTTCTCAAGCTGCCCTTGCATTGATGTAGATCAAGCATGTCAAACTCCCGGCCTGGGGGGCCACATGCTAAACGAGGCACGCGGCCCCGCCGACCGCGAGTTTGACATGCTTGATGTAGATCTAGCTGACTTAAAAAAATAAAAAGGTTAACATGCAAAAACATAATTCATAAGTGTGCAGCCCGATGAATTATCCAAAATGAATACACCCCTTTACACCACCCAGGGCAAGAACTTCACCAGCAGCCCCCCAAACGTTACTCTTCCGCCCCTTCCCAAGTACTAACCCCTTCTCCTCAAAGGGATCACTGTCCTTCTCACCATTGATAGATTTTGCCTGTTTTTGAACTTTATATAACAGAATCATCCAGTAGGCACCCTTTGTGACATGAAAACTTTCTGTAATCAGAGCTGCCCAGCCCATAGATGAAGGAAACCGAGGGCCGTATCTGGAGGAAGTGCAAGCTCTCCTACCCCCGATGGGTAAGTGCAGATAAGGATTTGGATGGTGCAATCCTGAGATTCTCCCATTCCACGGTCCATTGGCTAAAGATGTATATCAGATTACCCTTGTAATAATAACGTATGGGGCACATTATAAAAAGAAGCGTTTTCATCTATCATATAGGCAACATATTAAAATATGGCAAACACCTAATTTTGGGGAGGGTGTGGGGAAAAGGACACTTCATTCACTATTGTGAAACTATATACTTTCAAGGGCAATGAGCTAATACCTAGCAAAATTTTAAATGGTCATACTTTTCGGTAGCAAATCCACTTCCAGAAATCTATCCTCCAAAAATACAGTAACCCTGTACTGTGCCTCAATTTCTTCATTTCTAAGGTAAGGATAATAGTACCTCAACATACACACAGTGCCCGCTCCGGAAGCGATAACTCTTGCCTTTGTTTTAGTATACTGGGTCTGTTTATTTGATGTTTTCCCAAAAGACCAATTAACCTTCAAGTCTCTAACTTATTCCTACCAAACAGCACACCACTCAGGTAAATGAAACTAGGTGGGTGTTTCTCTAAGGGCGATCCCTGGGCAGCTTGTTAAAATGCAGGTTTCTGAGCCCACGCGGAACCCTCTGAACAGAATTCCTGCGGAAGGACCCAGACTTGAGCAAATCGCCCGGTTTTATTTCCCTGGAATCTCAGCCGCGTCCGACTGGGCTGAAGGCGGTGACGACTGCCGGCCAGAGGGCGTCGCTGTGGCCCCGCCCTCCTGATTCCAGCTCCCGGAAGGGCAGCTCTATGCTCGGCGCGACATTCGCCTCCTCTCTTCCGGTTCCGGTGTCCCTCCCTTCCTCCCTCCCCCCCTGCAGACATGGCTGCCATCGTCGCTGCCCCGGGTCCCGGTGCTCCCCTGCCCCCGGACGAAATGCTTCCGAAAGGCGATGCGGAGAAGACGGAGGAGGAGCTGGAAGAGGATGACGACGACGAGGTACTGGGGCCCAGCGGGCGAGGCGGGGAGCGGGGGTCCGCACAGGAGCGTCCGGCCCGGGGGTGTGGGCTCCGCGTGCTGCGGGATCAGGACACTGGCGCGTCGAGGAGCCTGGAGAGGTCGGAGCGGAGGCGTGTCCTGGGAGGCGGAGTTAGGGGCCCCGCTGGGCCCGGAGTGCGCTGGCTCCGGGGACGGTCGGCGTGCCCCGGCGCGCGGGGGGCTTTCCGCTGCTTCGGCCAAGACCCCGGCCTCCTCCACCACAGCCAGACGAGACCCTGTCGGAGAGACTCTGGGGTCTGACGGAGATGTTTCCGGAGAGGATCCGGTCCGCGGCCGGAGCCACTTTTGATCTCTCCCTCTTTGTGGCTCAAAAAATGTACAGGTAAGGGACAAGGGCAAAGACAGCGGGGGGTGCCTGGGGTGCCGTGAGGGAACGCGGGCGTTGGAAGGATCATACCTGGGTTGGAAGCCCGCCTGCCACCTAGATCGTGGAGTGACCTTGAACGTCTGGTCCCTTAGCCTTAGTCTCAATTTCCTTGTAAGTGGGGATTCTTGTTGGGTAGGATCTTGTTAGGCTCATTTCAGATTGTGTGAGATAATGAACGTATCGGTGAAATTGCTGTCACTAGCTACACAGCTCCCAGAACTCCTGTTTCTGGTAGGAGTATGGTGCAAGAGTTGGGTAGAGTATGTTTATCAAAAACGTTGCATCGGTGGCATGAGGAATTTGGTTCCTTCTCGGTGCAGCTGTCTGGCTTTGCCTCCCATCCTGCTCACATTCCCTTTGTAGGTTTTCCAGGGCAGCCTTGTGGATCGGGACAACTTCCTTCATGATCCTGGTTCTTCCTGTTGTCTTTGAGACTGAGAAGTTGCAAATGGAGCAACAGCAGCAACTGCAGCAGCGGCAGGTGAGCTCAGACAACACCTGAGTAGACCAGCAGTTAACGTGCAGGTAGAGCTTGGGATCTGGCCCTTGTGTTTTAGGTACTTGATTGTGCGGCCAGCATTGCTTTTGTAGACCTTGTCTGCCCCCATTAAATAGGAGGAAAAATGAGATCCCCAGGTCTGCATGGCGCCTTACATCTTTCCTTTCTGTTTCAGATACTCCTAGGGCCTAACACAGGGCTGTCAGGAGGAATGCCAGGGGCTCTACCTTCACTTCCTGGAAAGATCTAGATTGTTACTGCTCTATTTGACCTGTGTTGGCGGGAGAAGTTTGAAAATTCAATACTGTTTGAACTGCTGATTTTTTTCTTATTCTTTTGGGCACAAAAATAAACCTGGTTGGGAAAATGTCCCGTTCATTGTCTCATGGAGACTCCCAACTTGCAGCTGTGCCCTCCAAGCTTTCCTGGCTGACTTCTCTCCTCACTCTGACACCAGAGTGCATCGATGCAGATGGTCACTCCAACTCCGGCCATCCCCTCACTAAATCACTCCTCACCAGAAGGTCTCCTCAGTGTCTGCTTGTGGAGTAGGAACTGATGCCACTGGGAAGGATGTACCCCTGACCATTAACGACGGTTCTGTTTTGACATGCACTATATGAAATACAAAATGCATTACAGCTGTAGTGTAAAAGCAGCCACTGTGAATTTGTATGTTGGAAACGAGGGAGGGCCAGCAGTTTTAACCACAGGATGGGTACTGTGGAGGGCAGAGCAGGAGCTCACGTCCTGTGTGCATTTTGGCCATTAGACCTGTGTGTCTAAAAGAGAAAAAAAAGTCAGTGCTCACTTTTGTAATTAAATATTTAAAATGATTCCAGCCAAGTGTCAAGCATGTGTTTCTGGATATGCACCTCAAAACTTAGACCATTTTAGAAGGACAAAGACATGAACTGCCCCAAAGCATAACATATCTCTAAAAGATGACTTGTGATTTTAGTGAATTCCTTCTAAAGCAGCATCATACATTTACCTTTTTCCCCCCTTTATGTACATAATTACAGAATTTAGGCAGACAGATTTATGTATGGAGTTTTCCACTTTTAATATTTGGTTAAACAAAATACATCTTCTGTAAACAAACCCAGCACAAGGCCAACAAAAATGGGGGTAGGGGAAGATAAAAGCAAGAAAAACAAAAAGCCTAGGGTCACCCTTTATGGGCATCAGGGTCAGGCCTGCTCCCTTCCTTAAAGGAAATAGGGCTTTTTGCCCTTAGGCATCAGCATGGGTCCCTGTTCCCAAGCACCAGAATTGGATATGAACAGAGAAACCAGCCCTGAAATGTTTAAGCGTCTTTGCATATCCCATTGGCTCATGGACTCCGAGTACATGGGGACGCCTTTGAAGTGCCACTTGTACAGGCCCGAGCACACTGGAGAGTTTCCTCTTCTGAGGAAATGGCTTACTATCACTGACTGCCAATGGACCCAAGCTCCTGCTTATGACAATCAGCAAGGCTGGCTGGAACTTCTGGCTGGTGGTGGCTGGAATGTCATTGTGCAGGGATAGAGAGCTGTCTGTGGAGCCAAGCATGTCTGATGTAGAAAATGGTGCAAGAGATTGCAGTCAGTTGCTCAGACAGTGTAACGCAGTAGCCGCTTGGTGGCCTCTGTTACTCAGCATAAAAAACGGCCTTGTTGGATTGAAGATAAATGTGCAGAAAAAGTGCTGGTGTAAACATGCACTCCAGTCACAGTGGGGAGGAGAGAGCCTCAGCTTCATCCTGTTTCACTTGCTCAGGTTTGACATGCAAGCCCCAGGCTGGCTTTGCTGCTGGAGAGAAGTCTGGCTAGTGGAGCAGCTCTCGGGCCTGCCAAGACCATTCATCTGAAAGGCCTGGACGGGCCATCCCTGCCTGCCCGTCTGCCTTGAGGCAATACAACCACTTTGGAGACAAGCAGTGCTTCCCCTCCTTCTCTCATGTTTTCCAAAGTTAGGAGAAAAGTGGCCTACAACTATTTAGAGGTAGGGGTGGATCAATTCTTAGTTGATTTGTAAAGAAAACTATAGAAAGATGACAGACCCAAGTCCTCTAACATCATACACATAACCACCTAACTTGAGGACTCTGCTCACTGTAGTGACTCCCAGCCTAGGACTTCGATTCTAGCTGTTCTCTTCACAATACTTTCCTCACCCAACTGTTTTAAACTAGTGGAATTTGATGTCGAAGGCAGGCTCACTTTTTCCTGATTTGGTCAGAGTGGGCCAACAGGAAAAGCTGCCCTTTTGCTTATCTTGTGCCCCAGAGCCTCCTAACTTAATGAAATGGCAGGGACCCTGCTGGATGAGGCAGACAGGTTGCCCATGCCCGCCTGGTTTCGGCCATGTCTTCTTAGGTATCTAGCTCACCCTGTCATGCTAGAATGCTGCAGGATTCAGCCACTCTGAAATAGTAGAGAACTTTTCATTATAAAACAAGAATAGCCATAAACCATCCTTAAAAATAGGATAAGGGATGGCATTGAGGGTTGCAGATGGCATGATGTAGTGCTGCTGGGGTTTTCGAGATGGTTCCTGAGAGGCCTTTGCTCTGGGTCCTTCAAACCAGTCACACGAGCTTTGCATGTCCTGTGTCTTCAGACCCACTAGTTGCCAGGAAAGGGGAAATGGAGGCAGCATCTCCAGGTAAGTCAGAGCAGCAGTGAACTCCAGCAGAGCCTCTGTCAAGTCCTCAGAGGAAAGGGAAAAATAAGCTAGGGGACACCCCCCCACCTTTTTCCTTGTCTCTTCAAACAAAACAAGGGTCTTCCATTGCTTGCCCTAAGCACAGAGTTCCTACCTTCCTTTCCCAGGAATGAGTAACGTTGGTTGGTTCTTGTAACATTTCACACCTCTGGCCTATTGCACACTGTCAAATCTGAGGGAAAAACCCGATGAGATGTCTGGGGAAGTGGCAAGGGCAGACCCAATGTATAGGGCACAGCACATCATGGAGGATTTAGGGGTCGAGGTGAGGGAAGCTTGGCAGAACTGTTACATATCAGCCCTCCAACTCTGATGGGCCTCCACCTCTTCTGGTACCACCAGCAGGAGTTCACAGTTCTTTCCTCGCAAATGATGTTTTAGAAATTTCCTATTGGGGGAAAAAATACATGAAAGAATGAGATGCTGTTAAAATGGCAAATTCCAGTCTTGGGGCCATATGTTCACCAGTAACCTCATCAATTTATACCCTTGGCAATCCTAAAAAACACTCCCATGGTGATCTGCTCTTGGTGGGTTCCACTTTTGGATACCCCTCAATCTGTCTAGTTAAGATTTCCAATATGAATTTCTCCTATTGCTTAAAGTAGCTAGCTCTGTGACAGAAAGAGCCAGCCGAAAGTACTCTAAGTCTAAAGCAAAAGACTTCTAATTTGGGGGGGTGGGGGTGGGGGTTTCTTCTTTGGGAAGTTTAGTCCTCTCTGCCCTGAATGTCTTCCTTCCTCTGAACTGGCAGCTATACTGTCACAGCCAAGTGTAGATATAATTACAAGGCCAGTCCTGCCAGACCAGAAGATCAATATCCCAGGAGCTGGAGCTTCATGGACTATCAAAGATTCAGGTCTTTCAAATCTGAGACCTTATGATTCTAAGTGAGGCAGGGAGAGGTCCAAGAAGCTAGGAATTTCAATTCCTTTGCCAAATGATGAAAGATGAGCTTATAGGAGCCCACCCAGCACAACAGCCACCACAGGCACCTGAGCTCGCTCTCGCCTCCAATCCACTCGGGCATCTTCAGCTTGGAGTCAAGGTTGTAGTAGGCACCGCCCACCTCTCGAACACAGATCCAGTGCTGCCTTTTGAGAGGCAACTTCAGTGGACCCCAGCTCAGGCTGGAGGGCAGATTCATGATGAAGCCCATGACATTAGTGAGAGCAATGGCACTGACATCCCTGCAGAAGAGGAACGGTGTCAGGTTCCCTGGCTGTCACACAACTGGCATCTACCTCCCCACGCATCCCCTGCGTGCCAGTTCTCATCAAGTCAAGCCTGGTTCAGATTACCTGCGCTTATCCCACCAAACAGCTTCATAGCCTTTGGTCTGAAGTGCTGCCATAATGACGTTCACATCGTAGTTCCCATTTCCCAGCATGCTCTTCTTGTGGGGAGTCACCATGGTGTTTGGAGACAACCTACAGATGTGAAAGGAGGACTGAGACTTGTTGATCTGCTTAACGCCTCCTGAGCCTGCACTACCAGAGACAGAGAGCACTTTAGGCCACTGTCCCCCAGAAGTTTGTTTACCCCATTCAAGTAAACTAACCAAGCTTCCAACCAAGTATTCTGCAGTCTGGGCTCTTACTGTCCAAGGATTACTTCTTTTTTAATGTAAAATAATAATTTACGACTGGCTGGTGTGGCTCAGTGGTTGAGTGTCACCGTTTGATTTCCAGTCAGGACACATGCCCGGGTTGCTGGGCTCCATACCCTAGTGGAGGGCGTACAGGAGGCAGCCGATCAATGATTCTCTCTCTTCACTAATGTTTTTAACTCTTCTTTCTCTCTCTCCCCCTCTCTGGAATCAACAAAAATATAATAATAATAATTCAGCAGTGATGGAGCCTCTTTGCCTGTCATTTAGAAAGTGTGTCAATGGACACAAAGAGTGTTCCATGAAGGCGTCTCGTTTATCCCCAGCCTACCCATTTCTGCCGCCTTTTCCTTGCTGATTTCTCTGCCCTGATACAAGCCAATGGAAAATAGTATTTGGTATTTTCATTTGCATGGGTAGTTTTTTTTTATTCTTTTTTTTTTTAATATTTAAGTGCTTTCCATTTAAAGCTTACACACTTGATAATCATTAATCATTTAATACTCAAAAGCTTACAGGAGCCCAGGCAGGTAACATAAATGTATGAATTGGGGCCAGGTATAAAGCAATAAAATGTAGTAAGGCCTAAATGAAACTGCAATGCATGACCCATGTAAAGCATTCCAAATATACATGTGTATGTGTAAAATACTTAAGGATTTTTAAAAATTAAAACACAAAGAATCAATTGAAAGAAATTTTTGTGCCAAACAAAACTGCAGTCTGGTTTGCTCACCCAGCGGAAAGACATTTCTGGCTAGGCCTCTTAGCCACTCCTTCCCCTCAAGGCAAGGTCAGTTCTGAAGGCATTTCCAGTCCTATTACTTTGTTTCATAGGCTTGTCAGGCCAGGACCCGAGGAAAGGCCATCTTGAAGGAAAGGGCAGCACGTGTGGAGGAAGGGAAGTGTGGAATAAATGTGGAGCTGTCACCCTGGTCAGTGGTGCTCAGTGCTTACAGCGTTGGCCCGAAGAGTCTTGGGTTCGATTCCTGGTCAAGGGCATATACCCGGTTTGCAGGTTCGATCCTGGGGCTATCAGGGCGAGTGCTGGAAGCAACCAAACAATGTGTCTCTCACACTGATGTTTCTCCTTCTCTTTCTCCCCCACTCCCCTTCCTCCCTTCCACTCTCTAAAAATCAAGGGGAAAAATATCCTCAGGTGAGGATTAACAACAACAAAAAGCACAGATGGAGCTGCTAAATGCCATCTCCAAAAGAGAATGGAGACTTTAAGTCAATTCTAAAAACTTAAAAAATCTTATAAAAAGTAAAAAACTTGATGAACAAAAATAGAATCAGACATAGAAGCATCGAACAGATCATCTAACGCAGTGGTTCTCAACCTTCCTAATGCCTCGACCCTTTAATACAGTTCCTCATGTTGTGGTGACCCTCAACCATAAAATTATTTTCGTTGCTACTTCATAACTGTAATTTTGCTACTGTTATGAATCGTAATGTAAATATCTGATATGCAGGATGTATTTTCATTGTGACACACTGAACGTAATTAAAGCATAGTGATTAATCACAAAAACAATATGTAATTATATATGTGTTTTCCGATGGTCTTAGGTGACCCCTGTGAAAGGGTCGCTAGACCCCCAAAGGGGTCGTAACCCACCGGCAACCGCTGATCTAACCTCAGAGAAGGTAGGGGACGGGGGAGGGTAAGAGATCAACCAAAGAACTTGTATGCATGCATATAAGTAAAACCCATGGACACAGACAGTAGGAGGGTGAGGGCATGTGCTGGGGGGTGGGAACGGCTGGGAAGAGGTCAATGGGGGAAAAAGGAGACATATGTAATACTTTAAACAATAAATAATTTAAATTTTTTAAAAAAAGTAAAAACTTCTCTATATACAGAAAACATACCAGATCATTTTTTCAACATAAAACATATTCCTGCCACTGCTTAAACCCTCTAATGGCTCCCCAAACACTTAAATACAACCTACACTACTTCCTCTGGCCTGCAAGGCCCTGGGGTCCTGTTGACCTCATAGCACCTCTTACCACACAGACCTCTGCTACTTGAGCACACAAGCTTTCTCACTGAGGGCCTTTGTACAATGGCTGCCACTATCTGGAATACTCTTCCCCTAGATCAGCGGTTCTCAACCTGTGGGTCGTGACCACTTTGGGTATCGAACGACCCTTTCACAGGGGTCGCCTAAGACCATCGGAAAACACATATATAATTACATATTGTTTTTGTGATTAATCACTATGCTTTAATTATGTTCAATTTGTAACAATGAAAATACATCCTGAATAACAGATATTTACATTACGATTCATAACAGTAGCAAAATTAGTTATGAAGCAGCAACGAAAATAATTTTATGGTTGGGGGTCACCACAACATGAGGAACTGTATTAAAGGGTTGCGGCATTAGGAAGGTTGAGAACCACTGCCCTAGATCGTTACTTGGTCTGCTCGTTGAGTCTCAAGTATTATTGCCTTAGATGCCTTTTCTGACAGTCCAACCTTAGGTTTCTCCCAGTCACTTCCTCTTGTTATTACTGGACCTGTCTTCTGATTGTCTGTTTTCCCCACTACAATGACAGCAGGGGGCGCAGTGGCCTTATCTATCCTGTGAATGTTACATCACCGGGGCTCAAAGAGTGCTTAAGGAGTGTTGTTGAAATGTTCTCTGTATTTATTTTGTTATCTCTTTCCCTGAAAATAGCAGTGGACCCTTAAAATGAAAAGAGCTTATGTGCTTGTCTCCAGAACTAGCAAAAGGGCACCTGAAGATACTACATTCCACTCTGCAACCAAAATTTGTTTTCTCTGTAATAACTACCATTTATGGGAAACTTCTGTGCCAAGCCCATGACATGCTTTCATATGTATCTAATTTAATCCTCACAAGAAGCCCATAAGGCTATGAATTATTTACATTTTATAGGTTTAAAAAACTCAAGTTTGAATGACTAATCCCTGATCACTTATCTTTCATGTTTGAACGAGGATTCAAACTCAGATTTGTTGGAATCCAACGTGTGCCTGTTTTTTTAAAAAATATGTCTTTATTAATTTCAGAGAGAGGAAGGGCAAGGAGAGATAGATAGAAACATCAATGATGACAATCATCGACTGGCTGCCTCCTGCATGCCTCACACTGGGGATTGAACCTGCAACCTGGACATGTGCCCCGACTAGGAATCGAACCATGACCTCCTGGTCCAAAGGTTGATGCTTAACCCTGAGCCACACCAACTGGGCAGTTGTGCCTGTCTTATAGCAAGGACCCAAGAACGGAGTGGTGGCGGCGGTAGATTGATAAGAGGAAAGGCCAGCTGAGCCCCTGGGGCCTGGGCTTGAAATGTAGCTTAATAGGACAAAGGCTCTAGGTGGGTTCTTGGGCACTTGGATTAAATGCAAAAGCACATGAAAAAAAGCCCAGCTCAAGAGAGATCCAGTTCCTTTCCTTTCACCAGTTTTTCAATAGCTTCTCATCCTTTCAGTGTAGTCTCTAGCCAGTGGATGCAGGGAGACTTCAACAAAGAAACTGCTGAGTCTTCCTCCTCTTTCACCACCTAAGTCCCTACCAGGCTCGAACCTTAGCGCTGAGCTTTCCCAAGTGTGTTCCCAGCGGACCACAGAAAACATTCGATACAATGGCTGAATGAAACAAGAAAACAGGTTTCCTGCAAGTTTTCTTGAACATCCCATCTCCTCCATAGAATCTTTCCTGGCTCCTTTGTAATAGAAAAAGGAGGGAGACTGGGAGGAACTTCCATGCAGCATCAATGCTAATTGTGAGATTTAATCTCCATGCCTATTAGCTCATCTGTAAAAATGGGAATGATTCCTATCTTAGAGGACCACTGAAGAATGCAGTTTTTTTCGTACATGTGCAAACACATAGAAAATTCCTGAAGGAAATGGCTCTTCTACTCTGTATCCCTCACAGCTAGGCACTGGCAATTGAGTAAACATGTGTTGGTCAAACTGATCAATACAGGAAATGCTGAGGATGGCTTCCATCTCGTTCCCAGAGTGGTTATTTGAACAAGTGGGGCCTACCCAGTTTACCTACACTAGCACTTGCTTTTGTTAATAGTTGTGTTAGCTACTTTTATAAGCTTTATCACTTAATCCTTCCAACAATCTTGAGATAGAGATTAATCCCATAGTGTAAATAAGGAAACTACGTACAAAGAGGTTACAGTGATTTGCTCAGTCATGTACAGCTAGTGAGGGGCAGAGGTAGGATTCAACTTCCTAACTCTGAACAGAACTAAGGCTACACTGAACAGCCTCCTGGATATTTCGATACACTGGCCCCACTGAATTCCATAAGAACCTGTTCTGTTTCAATCGATTGTTTTCCTGGTAAATTCTTGTTCAGGACTCTCTTTAATTTCATTAGAAATTGCTAGTTTTGGGCCACAAAGGATTCTCACTGTTGTCACAGCCAAGAGGTTGTTAGATTTGAAGTGATCTACAAGTGAGAAGATAGGCTCTAGTCCAGGTCTCATACCTCAGATAAGTTCTAGATCCTCTCGTGGTTGTCACTGTGTCTGGCTATGCTGATGAGTTCAGATTTTAAAGAAAAGTAGATGTGGAGACATTCATTCATATTCCTTTTCTCCCATAATTATTATTTTCCTTTTTATCAGGTCTGAAGAGATGTGACATTAGAAAATATGACTTCCTGATGTCTTTAAATTTTTAAGTGTAAAGTACAGATCACAGAAGTACTCTAGTAGATGTTGGCTATGACGGTGATGGTGATGCTGTTTGGCCCTTGGATGAGATAATTCAAATCTCTAGGGGTTAACACTTAACAACATCTTTTCTCAATTTACAACCACTATACCTTTACTTTTTTAAAAATTGATCTTAGAGAAAGGGAGGGAGAAAGAGAGAGAAACATCAATTGCCTCCCGCATGCACCCCCACCTTTGGTGTATGAGACAAAACTCTAACCAACGGAGCCACAGCAGCCAGGGCACAACCACCAAACCTTTATATGTGGCTCCTTCCTATTAAATGGCTCAGGGACCATTTAAGAGGAAGGCAGGAGGACTTCCCCTCTATGGTAGGGAATGCTGGTTGCTCATCAATATCTACAATCTTTGTTCTTTCCAGGTTGCATTAGATTTTTTCCCTAGTACCAAGCTAATTTTCATCTCTTTAGATTTTAGCAGCTATTTTGAGAGGGAAACACATACTTAGCTGCAAGAACATTTGATCATTGAAAAATTGAGATGAATCTAGTAAAAATGTTTGAGACCTGAGGATTTTCAAAAAAACCTTGCAAAGCTGCTGCCTTATCATTTAACTTCTAAGTCCTTTCTTTTCAAAGCACAGACGTACATGATAAAATGTATGAGATCAAATATCCACATGAATACTATTTCTATCTTTTCTCTAATTTCACATGTTGAAAACTGACCCTTTTTGTGCCTCTTTTTGCTATCACTGTAGACTACCACTACCTCCAAATCTTGGACCCAGCCTGCCACACCTCTGACTCCTCTTCCTCGTCCCCATGTTGCTACCAAGTCATTAGCTTAGTTCTAAGTTCCTATTCATTTTTATTCCAAACATGAGTCATCTCATAGGCACAACTGTACTGAAACTCCACCCTGCTTTTGTATTTCTCCTTTATCTGGCTAAAATTCAACTGCTAGGAAGAACTTCCTTCTCAACAAATGGCATTCATGAAATTTTTTCTCATTTCTACTATTCATTAGTCACATCTTCAAAAAAGCAAAGAACTTTAGATCTGGGAATTTAAAATTATCTAGTAAAACCTGTCAACTTTACTGTTCTTTCTGTTAGGACCCAAATAGATCATCTTTTCTTTTAGATTATTCTAAATTCCATGCTTCTACTTTGAGTCTGTTCTGAAGGCCTGGCCAATGTGTATCTCCGAGATGTACCTCTCAGCAGCTGAATTCTTTTCAACTTGTTTTCTCTACAGTGCCCAGCAGTGCCTGGCACACTGCAGGCAGCCAGTAAATGTTTATTTAAAAAATTCAATTTTTTCTCTCTCACCTTTGCTTTTTCCTCGAATCCCTTTCATGTTTGTTTGTTTTTTGGTTTCTATTCATCCACACAGAATCTTTCCATACAAAATAGTCTATATAGAATTCTTGGAGTGGGGACAGAGTATATTCTCTTTGTGTACAGAGTTGCTATTACTTTAAGGTGGATCTTTACATTGTGCTGCTAGGGAAGTGGGGAGTATAGTACAATTTGCTAAAAACAAGTTCTATTCCTTTAAAGCCAGGAAAGAACTCTGGTTCCGTGTTAATGTTTAGCAAGTATTTAGCATTCTTTCATTCAGGCAAAACACAGCTAAAAGAGCCCCACTATTATTTACAGTTTATAATCATAGTCCACATCTTCAGACTCAGACCCAACTTACTAGCAGAGTGAACAGCTACTGATGATATAATTGTTCTGACATTCCTTTCCAATACTCAGGGAGCAACAGAGCAGTTAGGAGGCCCAGCAGTTACAAAGCCTGGGTCCAAATGTTGCCATTAATAGCTCTGTGCCATGATTTTCTCATCTGAAAAAATGGGAAATAACAGGATCTATCTTTTAAAATCAATGTGAGGAATGACTTAACACAAGAAAACAGTGCTTTGCACAGGGTGAGCGTTCATCTGTGTTAGTGATTGTCATCATTTCAGATCGGGGCCAAATTTATAGAAGTGAAAAACTTTTGAATGAACACACAGAATCTTGACTGTTGAAATTTACTAGTGAGTGAAACTGGGCAGATTGCTTAAACTGAATCCTTGGATCAATATAACAAGGTTGTTGCAAGATTGCTACATATTGCCCTAGCCGGTTTGGCTCAGTGGATAGAGCCTCTGCCGGAGGACTGAAGGGTCCCAGGTTCGATTCCAGTCAAGGGTATGTACCTCAGTTGCATGCTGGACCACCGGCCCTGATTGGGGTGCGTGTGGGAGGCAGCTAATCGATGTATCTTTCTCACATTGATGGTTCTCATTCTCTCTGTCTCACTCCCTCCCTACCACTCTCTAAAAAAAAAAATCAATGGTGAGGATAACAAACAGATTGCTACATATTACCAAGTACTGTACAAAGCACATTCAACTACTCACTGTGAGTCCTTCTCCCTATATTTAGGTTAGAAAATAACTCGCAAATATCCAATTAAAAAATATGAATAAAAAATATGAATGGCTGGAGAAAGGAAGCAGTGTAATGGATTGGCCTCCTTTCTACTCTTTTCAGTTTCATGACTTGATGATCTGAGACAAATTATCTCACTTGCCAGGGCCCGATTCCTGAAGAGAGGTCATTCTATTTGCCAGGTAATGGCCATAACGCAAATGACACATTTGCACCGCTAACGCATAACTATGGTTATTATTGGCAGAGGAAAACAATTTACTCTCATTATAATTTTGTCAACACCCTGGGATTAACATTCCTTTAAGAGAGGTCTATGGTTCTTTCAGGGTAAAAAGTCTACACCTATGTGGGGACCCTTTCCCCCTCCCTACGTGGGAGTCCACTCTGTGGGACTCTTTCCCTCTCTCCATGGGGGAGTCTGTACTTGTTCTTCAATAAATCTCCACCTTTGCTATACAAAAAAAAAAAGTCTACACCTATGGACTTTCACCCCAAAATAGATTGTTTCCAGTTGTAATACAGGCCCTTATGGCGCAATAATTTTATCTCTGAGTGAAGGGAGAAAAGGGTCTTCTGAAACTGCCAATATGCACTGCTTAAAGAATTCTTCCGCTTTATCTGCACTGAGCTGAGTAGGCCTTAACACTTCCTGGCTGGAGGAATCAGACAGGCTCCCCGCTGCGGGCTGCAGACGTGCTGACATGACCCGGTGATCTGAGATGTATTATCTCACCCGCCAGGGCCTCGTTTCCTGAAGAGAATTCCTTCTGCAGGAACGAATTCTCAAACCCTTTGATAAAAGAATTTCAGAACATCACAGCAGAGAGAAAAGCGGAACTTCTATCAACCTGTCAGATAGCATCAATAAGAAAGGGTATCTAGAATGAAGTAAAAAAGGGAGGGGATCAAGAGTCAGCTTCACATCACAGCTTTGCTGCTTAGAAGCTATTTGGACAAATTACCTGACCTTTCTGCCTGTTTCTCCATCAGTAAAATAGAAACAGGAGACCACTGTGGGGAGGGCAGCACAAAACAATATGTGAAAAGCACAAAGGCTAGCACACGGTCTCAAAGAAAGGCTGAGCACCGTGTATACACCTCTCTTTCCTTTTAAAAAAAATATTTATTGATTTCAGAGAGGAAGAGGGAGCGAGAGATAGAAACATCAATGATGAGAGAAAATCATTCAGGGGTTGCTTCCTGCATGCCCCCCACTGGGGATCGAGCTCACAACCCACGCATGTGCCCTGACCAGGAATCGAACTGACCTCCTAGTTCATAGACACCTTTCCATAGAACCCACAACATCCCCTCTCCGATGACAGGTGACTGAGCAGTACTCATCTGGGCCCCTTCTAGGCGGTAAAGTCCTGAGGGGCAGGACTCGAGAGGCATTAGACAGCACAGCGGTCAACAGCGCCGGCACACACCTGAACTCACACCTGGCTCCATCTCTGGTGGCGTTTGCTCCCTGGGCAAATCACCGCGCTTCTCTGAGCCCTGCCTTCATCTACGATGTGGAAATAACAGCATGTGTCCCACGGCATTGCGGATGCTCTCGGCACCGTGCCTGGCCGGTCAATGTGCAATAAAAAGCAGTGGTTATCTTTCCAATTCTGTGTCCCTCACTCATCCCTGTTAACGGTATCTCGCCGACGATACTTTTGGTTGGAAGGTGTAAGGCAACGAGACATCGCTCCACCCACGGAAATAGCAAAAAGTCTCCAGGAACCGAGCAGCGGGGGTCCCCTACCTCTGGAAAATCTCCTGCAGCGTCTCCCGGTTGAACGCGCCGCCGTCCTGGAAGACGTTGTTGAGGGCGTGCAGGGCGCAGAGCTCCCGGCGCTGCTTCTCGTGGTAGATCCGGGGGGGCGCGGCCTGGGGCGGCTCCGGGGACTCCGACTTGGCCTTGTCTCCCCGCCATGGCACGCAGCTCATGGTTTCCGTCTCGGGCGCCGGAGGGGGCTGAAAACACCCCTCCCCTCCCGAGGAAGAGGGCGAGCTTCGGAGTCTGTTCGGATTCCTGAGGTCCACCTTAGTTTCCGGTGCCCATGATTTATGCTTTGTCACGGGGAGAAAGGACTGGAATCAACAGGAAAAACAACCCACCTCTTCTCGATAGAAAAATAACTTTTGAATTAGTGTTTTTCACCACTAATGTCAAAGTGCAGAATTAAAAAAAAACAACCATAGAAAAACCTAAGCCCTTGTTCCCTTCCCCCACCCGCCCCACCCGCCCCCCTCGGGAAAAACCCCCACGGTTTTCTTGCTGTGTTTTCCTTTGTACGAGCCAACCGGGCCTCAACGCAGGAAGACGGGGCGGAACCGGTCACATCGCTCCTTTTCTTCCATTTCTTCCGGACCACAACGCCACTGGCTCGGAGGCAAGGCCTCGGTGGGGTATAAAACGCAAAATCCGAGCAGCTAGCGAAGGGCCGGCCCGGCGTGGGAGGGGCGGGCAGCGCCGGGGGCCTCCGAGGCGCCTCTCCATTCCCCGCGGGTGCGGTGGCCCCGCAGGGCGCGAGCCGAGGCGGGCGCGGCTCCCTCGGAAGCGCGGACTCTCACCTTCTCGCGCGGCCCTGCGAGGGAGACAACCCGGTCAGCTCCGGCGGTCGGACGGGCCCCGCGGAGGACCAGGCGGGCCGGGAGGTGGCGGG